TTTCCTTTGTGTTTGTCCTGCACTGAAGCTCAGGCCTAAGGTGGATGCAAGGTAACTGGTGGTGTCTCGCCTCTCTGTGGTGGTGAACCTGGGCCAGTCATTCCACCTAGTCAGTATGCTCAAAAACACTGCAATGGAAGGGAAAATTCAGCCCCTCTTGTCCTTGGCCAGATAAGAACAGATTGACCTTTTCAGATGACTTGGAAGAGTGTTTTTGTGCAAGTGGCACGTTTAAAGGGCTTTTCCCTTGCTACCTTTCCCAGCCAGGCTGGAATCCAGCCACCTCACAGAAGCAGGATTGTAGCTGTGTCTGGAGGGGACAGGGCAGACCCTTGGCTCACAGCCCATCTGTCCACGTTCTCAGGGGAGGCTGAGCCATCTCAGGAGTCATCGTGATGCATGGTATTAAATCCTAGGATATGTTTAAGCTTAAAGGCACTTAAAAGTACCACTTGAAATGCCATTGGTTCCATCATCATCCTAATTGTGCAGATAACCTCATTCGACTAAAAAAGTATTTGATTTCCAACCAGTTTACTGTCATACCCCACGATCATGTTTCAGCCAAGAAATGAGCATCACATCTTCATTTCCAGGTGAAACAAATAAATATATTGCATTGTTGTTGTTGTATATCTTGCAGACAAACAAAGCAGTAGCCAAGGGGGACTTCCACCATGCAAGCTCCAGCTCCCGGCGAGCACTCTTCCTGGCTGTCCTGTCCATCACAATCGGAACTGGCATCTACGTTGGGGTTGCCGTGGCTCTTATTGCCTATCTGTCCAAAAACAATCACTTATGAGCCTCAGGAAAGGGGGAGAACCAGCCACCCGGTGCCTGCACTGCAGAACTCCCCAGCAGATCAGACTGCATGATTTTCCAAAAGATCAAGAGACAAACAAACACCTTCTGCGGGCAGGTACAGGATAAGATGGGCTTGTGCATTATTGTAGGGTGGGAAGCTGGCTGAGGTGGGGATAGTTCCATCATTTGTGATGCACAAGTCTTGCTTCTCTTCATGAACCCCCATACAAGAAAGAAAGAAGGAGAGAAAGAGAGAAGGAGTGAAATAAACAGAAAAGAAAGAGAGAGAGAGAAAGAAAAAAAAAAAACCAGAAGGAAGGCAGTTGGGGGAGGTGTGGAGAGGGGTGTTTTGCCTTTGCCTTCTTTGCAATACGGTGTTTACAAGAAGCTGGCAAACTGAGCTGTTCTCTTAATATCTTCTTGGTCACCTGAACTTTGCAGCCAGCATGAGCTTGTGCTTAGTTTGCTTGTTAAGCACGGCACTGAGATCTGGGAAAGCATGGACAGTGGCTGGTTCTCTGAAAGAGCAATATAACAACAGGAGGAAGAATATGTTTTCTTTTTTTTGAATGCAGGACTCATTTGCCTAAGAGTGAAGCAGAGACCTCAGCGTAGAATGGTATTGCCTACTCTTCTTGTGTGGGTAGGTTTCCATGGAAGGAGAAAAGGAAATAAAAAATATTTTTTCTTTCCTATCCTTTTTTTTGGATTAAGATGTGGCCCACAGGCCCACCCAATGCACAACAGCTGAGGTGACTGCATGACATGGCTCCGCAGACTGAGCGTGAGGTCAAAGTAGCATGGGATCCGATGTAAAATGAATTCCTCCATCCAGTCACATTGTGATAATGGCACGTTCCTGTGGCATATTGCTCATCTGGGTTGCTCTGCCTTACTGTGGAGACCTGCACAGCAGTCAATGCAAGAAACCTGGGGGAAAAAAATGCAAACTGAAATACTAATCAATTTTAAATTAAAAATCGTGGTAAAGCATGGGAATTAACCAGGGGAAGGAATGCTTCATACATTTCTGAGGTACTGCTCATACCCAGAGCAGTGAAGGAGACCACTCAGATTACAAGCTCGCAGCTCATCCGTGGACCAGGGACACAGCATAGCCATGGAGAGACAAGCATGTCCCTTGATAAGCAGTGCAATGGTACATTGTAAGGGAATTGAGCATTGTCCTTACTTCACTGACTGAAATAATACATTTCTTTTCTTCTTTACTCCTTCCCCACAGTCACCCTTTTACTTTTTTGTCTTACAGATGTACCATTTCATCCCACTAAGGGTGTATCAGCATATATATATGTATCTACATATATATATATATACAGAGAGAGAGAGAAACTGATCAAAACAATAAGCATTTTATTATTCACTACCTTGTGTTTTATAAACATAATTTCTTTACCCAGGAATGTCATCAAAGATCTTTTTTTCCAACTCTGTATTGTGTGTCAGCTTTGCTCCGGGACAATTTTTTTCTTCTGTTTTGGGGTTGGCGCTATTCTGGTTTTAACTTGAGTTTTTTTATTTTAGGGGGGAGGAGGATAAACACATCCAAAACTATTTTTCTGCTAGTTATACAGTTTATTAAAACACATGGTATACAGCTGCTGATGCTCCGTGTGACACTTTCTTTGGACGGATGTGAAGCATTAGACTGAGTGAAAATTACCCCAGTACCCTGCGTTCAGCTACCCAGAGAAGTACCCGTGTGGACCATCCCATACTATACCTGGACCCCAAAGCCTTTTGCAGTCACTGACAATTCTTCTTTTGCATTGATTTGTTGGGCTTCAAACTAAGCCTGGAGACTAGCAACGTACTTATAGTCATCTTCATCTGTTCTCAGCCCCCGCTAAAGCTGAGGGCCCAGTAAATGCAGGTCTTTGGCCGGGTTGCCCTATTAAGGTAAAGTTAATTCTGTGGTTCTTCCCCTTCAACTTTTTTTCCTAGCAACTGCCATGGAGGCCCCTTCCCTTTGAAGCAAGGCAGTAGTGAGTGGGCAAGTTAGAATCCCCACGCTGTATTTGCCCCAGTGGGTGGTACCTGGGTTTGGGTAGGTGAGGGACAAAGGCACAGTTTGCTGCCTCCTTATCTTTCCAGGAGGATGCACAGGGTTTCCAGCCACGGTGCTTACAGCAGGCTCTCCAAAGCAGCGTGTCATGGCTTTAAAAACCAACCTGGGATCTGTGTTGCAGTCCTTGCCGCACTCCCCTCTGGAAATCAGGTGGTTGTGACCGCTTTGGTTCACATTTTCCCCATTTCAAACTATTCTTCCCATTGAGGAAGAACGGGAAGTTTCTTTCTTGGTTGTTTTTAAGGGTGAAGTATTGCTAGACTTGGATGACAACAAGGTCATGTATGCTAAGCCTGGACTTATGTCAAACATATATCTCAGTCCAGATCTTATTTTGCCTCAGTTCATAATGCAGTAATGCCATGTGTGAGAGAAAACCTTTTCTGAGGCTAGGAAAGCCCTTATCTAAGGCTAGGAAAGGCCTTATTTAACAAGTAAAGACAAGGACTGGAAATATTGATTATTTATTTAACTTAAATGAAGAGATTTCCATCTGAACCTTTTCCCATTTGTTTTTAATCTAAAATAAGCACAAAGACTGGGGGGGAAAAGAGGTGCAGCAGAATGGGGCACATCACCCTCGGCTGCACTCCTAGCAGTACCGCCATGGCTGTCTCATCTGAGGTACAGCACAGGAGCCCTTCAGGGTCCGGCATGCTTCAGCAGAGCTGGCTGGTCCTGTACATTCAGGTGTAGGTATCTCCCTCTGCCTCACGCTCCACAGCAGCCAGGCCAAGGTCTCGCACTGTTATGGGGCAGAGTCACAGCCCTTCCACATGGTGACTCCTCTGCTAGTCAGCTGGGTAGGTGATGTGCGTGGCTGGAGGTCCTTGGGAGCTACATATCAGTGGGAGGGATTAACTCGCAGCAAAAGCCCCATGCTTTGCCAGCAGACCTCTCATCTCACTCAGTCCGCGGATGACATCCAGGCTGGGGAGCATGGGCTCCTGTTCATCCATCACCACCTTGGGAGTCTTTGGGGGCCATATAAGCCCCATCCAAGACCCCAAAGCTGAGCACCACATGTCAACAACTAATCCATTTGCTAAATAACTCAGATTTATGTGTGTTTGGGTGTGGTTCATCACAAGAAGGGAGAATGATGACTGGGGTTCAAGCTAGCACTCCCAGGACACTACCCTACCCCTGTGTGAAGGCCCTGAATGCTGCAGTGTGTGAGAGATGCAGTGAGACCTGTGAGCACACGTTTGCTTTTGCAACCCACAGGTGCCCAGTGAGCTTTAATTTGGACAAGGTAACACATTTCATTTAGGACTTGGCTTTCACCACGGGCTCCCGGGCTTTGCCCCTGACACACAGATCAGCCTGAAGAACCACGCAGCCAAGGAAGTGGATTGCCGTATGTAACGTGCTCTTCCCTTATGTCAGCATGATTTGTGGGGAATTAGCTCTTTCTCTCAAAGTCTGAACTTTGGGGCATATGGTATTGAAGAAGAAACTCAGATTTTTCATTTAAAAAGAAAGGAACTAATATTTCCTAGCCGCGATCTGAATTTAACCGGGAGTTCAAAAAATTAGAAAGCAAATACGGAGACTCCAAGGTTATTATACATACCTAATAATAATAATAATAATGATAATGATAATAATAATGTCATTTTTGAACCAATCTTGTGGTTGAGGGATCTGCCTTATGATTTTTGATGATGGTTGTACAGGCTGAATATTGACCTGAGAAGCAAAAGCCAGCTCTGGAGCTAGAAGAAACCTTCCCAGGTGGGCAGTCTGAAAATGCCTTGGAAGCCTGTGCACCTAGCCTTAAAAATAGCATCCCAAACTGGGGAGTGCAGGCTTGCATGTCTCCAGGAACCCCTGAGGGACAGTAAACAGGAGCAGCACTGTGGGAAAGACCTGCCTAGCAAGAGCACTCCTGAGAGCATTGCCTGGCTGAAAGTTGAGGATGTGCCTCTGTGCTGCACATGCTGGAGCAACCCACCATGCAACATGGGGCTGGCACTTGGCATGGCAGTCCAGGGGGGTGAGCAGGGAACTTAAAAGGAGTCTTGTGTCCTGGGGAGGTGGACCTGGGCCTCACTGCAGCCCAAAGTGGGGATAAAGCTCCCATCGATAGCTTTCATGCCTTAGTATGGGTCCAGCTTGCTGATTATCTGCAGCATGGGTATTCACCCAGGGCTGTAGGTCAGCTAGGAGCTGAACAGGGACCTGCCTGTTCTTAAGGTAAGTGATGTTGGCATGGCCCACTGCAGCATCTCTGGCTGGCAGAACAGATATAATCCTCTAAAGAAAAATCTATGGCATTAAGACTAGAAAGTACCACTGACACCAGTGCTACAGTCTGAGCTTCTGCTGAGCTGAAGCTGGGTGGGACAAGTTTGCTCCTCAATGTCAGGAAGGTTCTGATGAAGGAAAGAGAAATTTGAAGGAAATGCTGCAGAGGTAGCATCTGACTTGGGGTTTCCTCAGCTCAGGCTTTGGGGTTGCCACATGCTGTGATGTGGCTGAAGCAGAGGAACCGCCTCAGCCAGGGGCAGCTGGTGGAAGAGCAAAAAGGACCATGTGAGAAGGACCACATGGGGTGTGCTGGTGCTGTCTCACAGCTTGCAGGAGGATGCATTTGCCTCAGAGGGTTCTTTTCCTGCAAGAGTATCTTCTTCTGCTCAGTCTGCAGTGGGCTGTGAGGAGCTGATACACCATTTCAGCTGCTGTCTTTCTAAACGCTGGTTCCCAAAACACTGTCCACATCACATCACCATACTGGACTGAGGAGGCAGCTATAAACTACCACTTATCTGAGACATTGAAGCAGACTGTTGCAGAGACAGACTTTAGGATCTATCTTTGCTTTACCTGTGCGCCTGAAACAAACTTTCTTGTAGGTTTGTGGTGTGTCCTGGGCCAGCAGCCTCAAGGCAACACACCAGTGGGGC